GCAGACAATATTTACTAGTAGGAGGGAAGAAGGGAAGAAGTCAGGCATGCTGGACAAGATCACTCTGTAGAAAGACATGTATAAGGAAATGAGATTTTAGTGTCTTGTAAGACATTAAAAACTTCCTCACTGGGAACCAGTAAGGTTGAGAAAGACCATATCAAATAAAGACTTCTAAAATAATCAAGGTCTTACCTAATCCTTTCTTTTCAAAATACTTTAAATTATTCTTCTTTCCCCCCCCCCCCTGCATTTTTGACCAGAAGAAGGAATATATGTTGGTTCTTGCTGTGGTATTGTGCAATCCATGACCTCCGGCCTTGAAACTATAAACTTTGTCTAGCTTTTTTTGTAATATAATGATTGTCATAGGAAGGATGGCTGTGCTGGGAAAGTCCACTGCTCTTGGTATTAGCTCTTGGCACTGCTACAAACACTGTTAGAGGACGGTGTGAAGATAAAATAGCAGGGGCCTTAGGGCTGTGAAAGAAACTGCCACTCAATATTCAGGTCCTTTTGCAAATTTTGTTGTGCAGCATCTGCAACAGTCAGTAGTGAAGCTCTCATTTCCAGAACAAGACAGACACAATATTCCTCGACCCCAACAACACACTCCCAGAAGATGGGCTCTCCTCTGTCCCTGACTCTTCAATCAATGAAAACCAAATGCAGGCATGAACAGTACAATGTGTTTTCCTAGTCACTGCTTTTTTATTTCTCTATCAGTAAACTGCAAAGCAAGACAAAGAGCAAGAGAGTGTCACATTTTGTAGCAATGAATACAAAAGTGAAGCCCTTTTTACCATGTTTTGTAATGAAAATGTGGAGTATTCAGAGACCTGGGGAGAGAAGCAAATACTCAGACATACAGATTGGGTTCTCCAGGAGAGGCACCACTCTTTTTTGTCTCATCAGTACCAGTTACTCTTGGGAACTCAGTCCCATTGAAACCCAGTGTTCCTCCTCTCTGACATGAAATAACTCCAGGCTGAAGAGATGTTACGTAGTCATTGCTAATGAAGGAGGAAAACCTGCCCACTGTGGATTACCCCCCTCATGATTTCCTGCAGCTCTGCTTTCTTCACTCATGCTTTCTTTCAGTGCTGACATATCCCTGTTTGTCCCAATAGAAGAATCTCCAAAATCTAGGCAATATACCTGATTACCAAGCAAGAGGTTTGGCTTGAGGTGACAGGTTGTGCTTGCATGCTTCTCTAGCATAGTAACTCCTTTACACCAGGACCTTATACCTCCTTTACACCTTTTTTTCTTCAGACGTAGCAATGACCTCCCCCCGCCCCCCCCCCCAAAAAAAAAAGAAGACCATGCTGCAGGTCACAGAAGTGTGGTCATAAGTTCCTCAAGAAAGTCCTAATTGCCCCTATACCATGTACTTGCTCTCAAGTCTAATTGTAAGAGGCGGAAACACTGCATACCAGTTCTGCCTACTGATAGGCAAGGATTCTACTGGATTCTTCCACTGGATTAAAGAGCTAAACACTTATTTTCTTCTGGACTGAAGTTCCTTCTCTTGGAAGGCTCAGCAGCACTGACTTGTTCATCGGAGCAAATAATTTCAATGTGAAATTGTTTCTTCTGTCTTCTTTTTCTCTCAGTTTCACAAGTATGCTGTACATCTGAACCTTCCACACTCACTTCCTCCAATAACTGTGGTGTCCTGGTTTTGGTAAGAAAAATAGCAGATCCGGTGTTTTCAGCTTACACAGCTGCTAACTTGCAGGGACTGAAAAAGATCTTATTTCTTCATACACTGTGTTTATTTTTTTTCTGCAGAGGATTTAATTCAGCTCATATTTCAGCAGCTGGAGAGAACCACCAAGTGTATCCTGCACCCTGCACTGCAGGTGATTATTTTTAAAATACACATTTGCGCTGTTTATGGAGCAATGGATTGTCTCTTGCTTAGTGATGCTTCTGGGAACTACAGTAATAAAAGAGCAAAATACAGAGTGGAGAGTTTGTTATTAAAGTCTAGTAACAACCGTCACTGAACAGTTACTCTGCTGTAGGGCTGTCTGTCTTTTCTTTCCACGGTAGTTCAGGCGCTTGAACTCCTCCATGACCTGCAGCATGGTCTTTCCTTTGGTCTCTGGCATCACCAGGAAGACAAAGATAGCCATGGACAGACAGTATGTCAGGAAAATGATGAAACAGAAACTACCAAGACCTTCCTATAGGAAAAGAAAGAGACAAAATTTGTTCATATAAATTGATCTAGATTTCTTTCTCTTATGATATGGAGTTTCTGGTTTTGTATTTACTAAAAAACTTGGTCAGGGACTTAGTTGATGTAAATCCCGCTTGCGGCCACCTGGGGAATGGCACCGAGTGGCAAGATGAACTAATTCTCCTTTCCTGTTTTAAGGAGGAATGTTGTATGCTCAGCAGACATTGAATGTCATTGCTTGACAATTCAGAGAAGTACTGAGCTTCAGTTACTCTTCCTTTCTGCTCCATCCTTCTCAGTCAGAGCTAGACTGGGGAAAGTACGTAGCATGTTAGCTCTGTTCGTCCTTGCACAGTCCAAAACGGCAAAGACTTTAGTTTCCTGCTACTTACTAGTGCTGGGTGAGACCTCTGGGACTGCCCATTTTCCACATTAACCCCAAAGGAGATGCACATACAGGACAAGGGGGTAAAGAAGGGATCCCCTCATGACATTCAAATGACACCTGACAGCATTCGTGCTTCTGTCACTGCTTCCATGTTTGCCAGTGCCGCACTCTAATTGTGTGTAGAGTTAGCAGCATTTTGTGGTTTTGCTACGCTTTCACTAGGTATCTGGGCAAAAAGAAAGAGGTCATCAGAACTGCAATTAGTTTGGGCTCTGTCCTTTGCATGAAGTATTGAAAAAGAGAAGTATGCTCTGCGGGGTCTAACCTCCTCTGAACTGAAACAAAACACCCTACTTTGCTTACCACAATGAAAGGGAATAAAAGTCCAAGGATGAAGAGTTGGATCCAATTTGTAGCACCATTAAAAACATAAGCAGCTGGTCTGTATGACTGAATAAAAATTTCTGTGGGCAAGGGGCATAATACTCCAGCTGAAAAAAAATGTTGGGAAAAAAGGAAGTTTAGAAATTTTGCAAGATGCCTCTGTAACTCACACTTCATATTGCCACATAAGTTAATGGTTTTAACTGAGTTGGAAGTGTCTGAGGTGCTGCTTGGCTCTCCAGGAGGAAGGCATGTAGGAATGCAACATGAAATGCAGTTTTACCTCCTACCACAGTATGGAGGGGAACATCTACCCCTGCGCTGAATCAGGAATAGGGATTCTCACTAACTGTGGAACAGCTATGCCTGGGACCTCTCCTAAAGGCTGCAGTGAGGAAGGAATGAGTATATGAAACCATTCCAGTAGACAATACCAACCTGGCCCAATGCCAAAGCTCATGATGAAAATAAAGATGAGTGCAACAGAGCAGTATGGTACCCAGGAAAAGGAATCCTATGGTAGGAAATGAAAAGCAAACAAAATCAGAAATTAAAATTTTATCTACCCAGCTCCATTAAGAAACATTCATCACTGCTAAGTATGTCAATGTTAAACATACATCTGTTTCCTCTACTTCCAGAAACTTCACAAGGAGATAGTCTTGGCAGTGGTCATGGTTGTATAAAGCTATTGGCTTTAATCTGCATGGACATGTCTGGGAACAGATCTCTGTTAGTATGACGGTTAGCCCCCAAAATACTTCTACTTTCACCTAAAAGTGATTTGGGGGGCAGGAAATAGTAGCGATATCTGCCATACATTAAAACATGAAGATGGGACACAGCTCTAATGCATAAGTGGGGTCTTACCTGTAGTGAAAGCGTGACTGTGAGAAGCCCTAAAGCCAAGGCCATAACAGCGTAGCTTTTCCACAGTAGTGTCTTCCTCCCTGCACGCTCAATTAGGAAAGCCTGCAACCAGGAGGACATGCTATCATCTCCAAAGGACAGATCTTAAAGGCAGGCACTGGTGAGCTGCTCTGGTAGCTGCCTTCACCAGCCAGGCAAGGGATCTCTGAAGAGTTGGGGACTGGGATGTGGTACCTCCTCTGGGAGGGTGAGTAAGGGCATCTGAGGGTACTGAGCAGGACTGGGAACTGCAAGGAGAGGGGGGAAGGTAGGGACGAGCAAGGGTGCAGGGAGCATTGCCTGGGCAGAAGAGGCCTGAAGTGCTACTCTGCAGGCAAAGGATAGCCAGGGAGGACAGCAAAGTGGAAATGTTTGCACTGTTAATTGCCATGAATCCTACAGCCATGAGTCCTACTGACAAGTGGACATAGGGACTGTCATCTGCCCTTCCTACAGAGGGGAACTGGGACTCCCAAGGCTGGCTCAGGCTGGGTCATGATTTTGAGGGAAAGACTCCTCCTGTCCTCCCATAAATTGAATATAAATGCCCATGTTTGTAGGGTGTGTGGAGATGATTTTGCGTGATCAGTGCAAAGTACTATGGTTGATTTGTTGCAGAAGTTTCATTCCTGAAGCTCCTTTTATGGTAGTTCTAAAGATTGAAATGAACCATGCATTACAACAGAATGAAATTCAGCTGAAAAGCCACTTACACAGAGAACTGTGGTGAGGATCTCAGTGATCCCAACTCCCAGGGAGACATAGTGGATTTGAGCAGGGGGGATTCCAGCCTTTATAAAGACATTGTATGCATAAAAGTAAACCTGGAAAGAATAGAAATGTGTGAAGGCTGTACCCATGCGGCCATGTTTACACTAGCTTCTGTCTTTTTTGACAGCAAATAACTAATAAGGCTTTAACAAAAGGAAATCTTCTTGATTTCAGTAACTAATCCTCAAAGTTTTCATGAGCCTTATTTGTGCAGAACAGCTTTTACTAGCAGCTCTGTCTTGAACTCAGTAACAAATAGACACTTTCTCTTTTTTTGCTTGCTTTTAGCACTGCCTTTGTCTTATGTTACAGGTTATAATTCTATCTGACATCTTTCACATGTTTTAGCGTCTCGTACTTTGGATGAGGAGCATACAGAAATGCGGGCAGTACATACTAATCAAATGGTTTAAATTATCTTTCTCCATCATCTTTAAGCCTTTGCAGTGATTTTGATAATCACTATTTTTCCGGATGTAAGCACTCCTAAAGCATAAGAAATTCCACTGTTAATATGCTCTATTTCTACTGGTCCTTTGTGGTATAGTTACTGCTGCACTAGTGGAGGTAGAAAGGGGTCATATTAATCTTGAAGTCTTTCTGAATTTGAAAAATTAATCTAGATTTCGAAACTTTTATGCTTTTACTATAAGCTCATTTTATACAATAACTATTCCAATACTCAATACTATCTACTGAAACATAGATAGAGATATTTCCAGAGAAAAATCTTAGAGGGTATGTATCAGTCACTGTCACATATATTACTGGGATGTGGTAATAGTCTATAATCCAAGAAAGTGCAAAGTTAAAGGATTTATAAAGAAACTCAAAGAGGTAAGAGTATGGAAATGCACTGTCAGTGTACATTACAAACCTGACTCAGTTTGTACTGAAATGGCTGAACAATTTTGGGCAGTGCATTCTGGAGTTCAGAGACCCAGAAGAGGTTATGCTGTTCTTTACTTGTTCTGTATTTGAGATTTTATTTTATCCCCTTCCATTCTCTTATCATAACAGGGTAATCTATAGAGACGCCTTCAGATGACACTTGCTAAAACACAGTTCTCGACTTACCCCAGGTCCCAAACTTCCATGGGAAAAGTTTATAATAAACAGTAACAACAGATCCCCTCCTTACAGCCACTGTTGCAGTCAGCATTTTACTACTCATTGCAGAGCTTACTTTTTGCCAAGAAACTGTAAGCAATCTAGAAAGCAGAGAAAAGTAGCACACGTGCCACATTGACGCCAATTAACTGCATGCAGGAGCAGACAAGGAAGAGAGTGATGAGCTGCCAACGGACAGCTTTGTCACGAAAAAGATCACAAATGCTCTTAGCCTTCTCCCCACGGATGACTTCTTGTTCTGCCATCATGTCATCTATTTCAGCCATATGGTCACCATCTCCCCAGAGCTGCTTCACAGCTGGAAGGAGAGGGAGAGAGAAGATGACTCCTGGTCCAAGCTCATCATCACAGACATGAATTCAGAGGATTACTTGCTGCCTTGCAGAGTGTCTTATTTGAGCTTCAGGCTCTTTGCTTGTGTGAACTTCCTAGAGATCTGGGTTCAGATTAGACACAGATCCAGTTCATTGCTATCTGTTTTTACCCATAAATCTTAATCACAATCTCACCTTTGGCCAATAGCTGCTTACAGTGTTTCAATGTAAATAGTGTCTAAATTCTTACCAATCCTTCCCTGAATACCCTCCTGCTAAAGGTGCAATTCTAGTGCACATGCCAAAACACAGACAAGGAAAAAAGTCTAGACAAAAAGTCTCCATACAAAGAGTTCTCTCTTTTGATAGTTAAAAACCCACAATGGCTGTTTCTCTGTTTATGTCAGTAGTTGCTGTTAGGGTTACTGAAGAACTGGAATGCTTACAGATATGGCATGATAGTAAAGAGCATCCCTTTCTTACACAGAGCCAGAAGGTAACGTAACCACATGCTGACTGTTCAGGGTAGAATCTGTATTGATGGAAATACAAGCTCTGTGTGATCACAACCCTCAGAGGATCCTGGCAGAGGGTAAGGGAAATACTAGTGCCAAGACAGCACTAATATCGGAACAGAAGAGGCTGTCTTTCATTAAAGCTGAAGGTGGTTTCAGGGCCAAAAGACCAAGAGTCTTTTTCCCAGCTGTACTTCCGGGCTCACGTGGGGCTTTACTGTATTTTCCACGTTTTGCTAAAATGAATGCTTTGTGGCCCATTGCCTTACCTTTGATGCACCCCTCCTTGTCCTTTTTGTCAATGAGCAGGTAGCGGGGAGAGTCTGGGAAGAAGGGGAGGGTGAGAAGCTGAACGAGGGCGGGAAGCGAGTTGGCTGCCATGAGAATAGGCCAGAGAGCATCTACGCCAAGGACTTCTCTGAAACAAAACCAGCAGAGTGAGAAGAGCTGAGCAACCATGTGCGCTGGCCATGTGAGCACACGCAGACACAGGGTGGTCCCTCGGCCCTGCTGCGTGTGTCCTGGCAGCTCTCACCCAGAGTCTCTAGGATTTCTCAGCCCAGAAAAATTAGTATCTCAATAGGAGGCGGAAGGGAAGCACAGAGTGCTGCTGCCTGCAGCACACGAATTACACAGCGTTGCCACCTGTTGGCTCGGTTGTGAGTGCAGCAGGGCTAACTGCAATCTGCAACAGCCGAAGGCCCACGGGGACCAACAGCGTCCCTGCACAAGCGCTGAAGAAAGAACCCACAGTGGCTGATCCCTCTGCTTCTGATCCAAAGAGTCTCAAGTTACAATGAAGACAGGATCCACGGGTTATCAGCCTGGTACTGACTGTCCCAAATAGCAGCCGCTGAGTTTCCTGCAGCTTTGAGAACACCATGGCCAGAACGACACGTGTCTGGGAACGGGATGGACCATCTTTGCCACAGGACAGGCAGAAGGAGCCTGTGCTGGGGGGGAATGAATCCTCCATAGATCTCTGGTTTTGCATGTGTGTTTCATGGGTGGGTGTGCCAGTTTGTGTGTATTTTCAAGAAAGTTTGGATGGATCTGACATTCCCTGCTCCTTAGAAAAAAGTAAAAATTAAAGGTCAGTTCTTACAAAAGATTGATTTCTTTCAAGCCCATTGAAATCTGTTAAAGAGTTTAATTATCTGTATTTTGATCTATCTTTGCTAGGAAGAAACGCTGTTCTTCAGGATTAAATATTTTGTATGACTTCTGTTTCCCATTCAATTAAGGCAGGAATTTGGGCTGAACTAATTCAGTCTGACTGCCTAGGATACCCTGAAAACATGTCTAAAAATAGTTACTGATTTGCCTAACCATAGGCTTTCATTGACATATGCGTATGTTTTAATAACAGAAGAAATAAAATAGGTCTCAGACCCCCTTACCTGAGACCCAGAGCAAATCCTACAAACTTTCCAACGGCAGTGGCAGTAGAAGCTGTTAAGGCAATCAGCCCACGAAGCTTCCGTGGGGCACATTCCCCAGCATACATGAGATGGATATTCAGAACTAAACCTGCAGTGACAAATGATTGTCAGGGCAATTCAAACTCCCACAGGTCTGGTGTTTTGGAGGGGAACGTAACAGGCAAAGCATATAGGGTTAGGCTCTGAGATACTTTTTTAACCATGCTGGGTATGTGTCTGCCTGACATGAAGCATGTTCCCAGTACCGTGGCCTTGCGTCTTTGCTAAGCATTTCACTAAGCAAGTATGTTCCCCTGGAAAATCCATTCTTCATCAAGCTGGCCTTCTCTTACAATGTTTCCTACAGCCACATATACAGGATTGCTATTGCTCCCTGTAATCTCGGATTATATATTTCAATATCTACTCAGGATGCTATGTGTCTTATTTTGTGCTTGAAACCAACAAGTTAACAAATGCTATATATTTCATTTGCTCAGTGAATTAATTAATATTTATCCTCTCTCTTAATTTTTTTTTCTGGTTAGTATTATCTTTATCCAACTGCTCAGGGATCGAAAACACTGGCAGAATGTAACCTTCTGAGGCATCTAGAAATGTGAATTGCCCAGCTTGAAAACCATTCCCTTGACTGTAATATGGAAGGCAGTATCAGCCACAACAAGCAGTAACAAAAACAACAGTGGTCAGCTTTCTATTGAGTGAGCATGGTTCCCTGAAATATTTCATGTTTTGGCTTTTTCACAAGTTGGCAGTACTTTTATATGGATTAGATGTAAAGATAAAAGAATGAGAAATGGAGATGTCACACATGATTAATTTAATTATGTTTGTGTTTTCTTATTTAGTTAAAAATGCATTCAGCCATCAGGCCCTCTGCAGAGTGTAGTAAAAATCTGTGATCTGTATACTCAGTCTGGTAAATTCTTGTGACACTCAGTCACTGCTCTCCCAACTATTTAATACCATAGGTAGGAATGCTACTTTACCTCCACACAGTCCAGAAAGTAATCTTCCAGCGATGATCATCTCAAAGGATCCACACAGCCGGCTGAGTCCCATCAGAGTTGCACTCAGCAGAGCAGGGATATTGGTGAACAGCATCGGCTTCTTCCTGGAATTCATTTAAATTAATGTGACCATAAATATTGTCCATGTGTCATTCACAGCCTGACAGAAGTGGCATTGAATTGTACCATGGTTAAAGACTCTGTGCCGGCTTCTGAGATCAGCTGCAGTAAAGTAAATGGGAAATGGGAAGGAGAAAACTTTGTCACGGACTGATAAGCTAGTTGAAGCTTTTGATGCCTCTAGTGGACCCAATATCTCACTGAAGAACAAGCTTTCTGAGCGGTTGTCTGTGAAATTCACTTTAAAATGCATGCACTCCCCATGTGATTTCTCTGGCCTGGATTAGCTTTGGAATTTATAAGGGAGAGGGTATGATTTTCTTTGCGATCATTGGCAGATTTTGCCATTCTGTTTCTTCACTGAACTGATCCTTCATCTGAAGCAGCTCTGGGCTGCTCACAGTGCCACTTTACAAAGCAGTGTTTCTCCCAAGACACAGTCACTTATTTTTGCAGTTGTGGGTGTAAACAGAAAGACTAATGTAATCATTATTCCTACCTTCCAAATCTAACAGAAAAATATGCGGCAGACAAGGACCCCAGAAGCCCACCGATGCTGTAAATGGACACAACAAAGGACCACATCAAAGTGATCATCTCTTCACTGGGAGAAGAGCCGTATCTCTTCAGCCAGGTCTCACGGATGAAACTTTTGATGTACTTTAAAAGAAAAAGAGAAAGCAATGGACTCAGTCAACATAGTTTTCCATAACTGCACATCTTTTTTACTTCTTTTACCTACTTACTGGTCTTTTTGATACATTTCTATTGACATCTTGGTTGAAATCTTAGCCACAGTGTAATCAAAGGGAATTTTGCCACTAACATCCCTGGAGTTAATGTTTTAGCAACAAGGTGCAATGAATAAATCAATGAATAAATATATCAACAGTGAGTGCCACTAAGAGGGTGGCACATTGGTCTTTTGTTTATGTGCTAAACCCTGATAGTTTTGCTACCAAATCTTCCCCTCCATTCCCACTTGTCTGTCTGTCTCTCTTGTCCACCTGCTGCATCCTGTCTGATACCTTGGGTGAAATCCAGGTTTGACTTCAACTGACTTCAGTGAGATCAGGATTTGTCCCTTGATATGGCCCAGTGTGGGATCTCTCTGACCTACTATTCATAACCTCCATGGCACCTTCATTCTTGATGAGGGATCCCAATGTAGTGATAGTATGAGCTCAATGTCCTCAGCACCATTCAGGATGACAAACACCTCCCCTAATTTTCCTTTTCCAGATGCAGGTACCAGTGCTGACCTCAACTCTAGAGCTACAGTCCTTCCCTGTCCTATTTCACCTTACAGACAGTCACTTAGACTGGTGTGTGTGGCCAAGGACATGGTTCAAAGGACTCTCTGAGCACTGGAAAGAGGAGAATGTCTGGTGTGCAATCCATCTCAGTAAGGGGAAAATGGCTGACTTTATAGACATCACTCATCCTCCCCTTTCCCAATTCTGTCACACCAGACAGAAGTTAAAATCCAATGAAACACAAGAGCAATAGCAGCTACTCTTAGAACCAAGAAACCACAGTAAGTCTAGTTTTGAGAGCAGAAGGGAAAAAGTTAGTGATTGCAAATAGAGGCAGGGATGCATGAGAACATTGAAATCCATGCTGGTAGCTCAATTTTTTGAGCTGTCCATGCTTACCTCAGCAGGAGAATTGATAATGGAGACCTGCAACCCATACTGGAAAGTTCCACCAATGCCCAGGACAAAAGCCAGGAGGAAGAGATTGTAGCTCATTTTCTGGCAGGAAATAAAAACAGCAAACAAAGCTAGACATGTCCTGTTTTACCTTCAGGAACTCTTACAGCTTGAGCAATGTCATGCACCTCCCTCCTCTGAGACCAAGCAGGCAGCGCAGAGTGCAGTAGAAGACCACAGCTACTAAAGCACAGGACAGTGAGAAATTTGAGGAGAGACAAAGCTCATAGCTGTATCCCAGAACCCAGTTAAACACTTCAGTGCCTCTGTCTTCAGCTTTGGGCATCTTAATCTGCACTATCATAGGGTAACTAGTTGCAGGAACATGGTGCAATGGGCAAAGCATTATGTGCATGATTTGCATCTATTTGTCCTTCCTCCTCCTCCTCCTTTTCCACTTGTTATCTCACCTAAATGAATGTTTTGCTCAGTGACTTGGCTGAGACTAGGTAAACATATGGGGATTGAAGGGCATTCCTAGTTTCATAGTTTATTCACCTTTTCTTAGAACTGTATCTGATAGTAGGCTTAAGAATACCCCCACAATATAGTACTGCGATACATGCATACTCCATCCCTCCCACTCCCACTGCTCTGTTACTGAGTGTCTTAGTGATATTCCGTCCAGCAATGATGGCATGATGTTGCACTTCTATCTCTAGAACAGATCATATTCAAAGGCAACGCTGAACAATGACTGCCAAACATTTACAACCTGATTTCTAATGAAATGAATTGCATTGCTTGAATGGGCATGAAATTTATCCATGTTGCAACATTGTTGGCTTCAAAGGACTCAGCTCTAAATAAATTTGGTATTTGGCACATTCATATATTAAATTACAAAAATCTCCTGTTTGTCAAAGCACTAGGAAGAAACGAGAATCACAGTATCTACTGCCAGCCATCCCCACTATCCTCTGTGCTACAAAAAAGGCCTCACATCAGAACAAAACTCCCCATCAGCAAGAAAATCATTAAGCCCTATGCTAAGTGCAAATTTTATATTGCACCTGCAGCAAATTTCTTAGTCTCATCTCCATTCTGTATTATAACACCATTGCTTGATTTTTCTGTTGCATCTCTTGGGTCACCTTTCCAGTCTAACAGATTTTAAATTCAGGAAGATTTTTTTAAACTTAATATTAATCCTAAAATTGCTTTTTAAAAAAATCTTCATTTTATCTTTTCTGGGTATCTGTTCCTATACTTCCTTGACTGCAAAGGATTGTTTTCCATCCTTTGGTGTTTACATCTTTCAGATACTTCATTATTCATAACTCCTTTATTGTAGAGGACTTTTTCAGTCTTCCAGCCCTCGTCCATCTATTAAATCATGCAGGTTTTTTTCTGTTGTTCTGCTCTGAACTCCCTTGGTTTGTCTTCCTCTGTTATGTATCAGACATTAAATATAAATGTGCTCTTAAATCCAGTTTTCTTTGCTTTTTAAAAATAATTCCTTGCAAGATATTTGATATCTCTCAGATATGACCTCATACTATTATTTTAACCACATCTGATTCAGATTTACTTTTCTTTCTGTACTTAATTTATACAACAGGTATAATATATAGAATAGCAGAAAGGAAAAAAATATATATGCAGAAATTCTATTTGGGGGAAAAAAAAGAGAAACATATACCAACTTGCATGCAAAGGTGGTCATCTCAGCTTGCAGGCTAGGTCTTTCCTGATGCTTTCGTTGGTTACTTTGGAAAAAGTAACTCTATATATAGAGAAAGAGGAGCCTGAGATAATATTTCAACATGTGATTTCATTCTTTCTCAGTGTTTACACTCCCTTTGGTTTGTCATGAAGTTCTTGCTATTTGGTTTGTTATTATTGTGTTGGTTACTGATGAAACTGGGGATAATTTTGGTGAGCTGTGCATTCATGCCAGGTCACTAGGGAAGAGAAGCTCCAGCAGCAGCTGACAGGCAATAAGAGCTGCAGATGAGTAAAGGACAATAAAAAAGGCACTGATCAAAGCCAAAGTCCAGGGACTGGCACAAACTAGAGTGGACTGGCTTGGACTCCCCTAGTCATAGGTTGGATAATTAGTTATCACATTTAAAGGGAAAGTTCCTGACTGCTACTTTGAGCCTCAACACAGCAAAGCCTTCTGAAGCCTGACTTGATCAAGCCTGACTAAGCCTGTGCATTTAACTCGTGAATTATGGGGTCAGTTGACACTTTAAGAGTAATGGTCACTGCCTGACAAGTCTGTGTCCCTATAATATATGGTAGATGCTAGGAAAGTTGAATGTCAGTTTTAAATCCTGATTGTAAAATAAATAAATTACATCTTTACTTTTATGCATAATTCTCAAAGGGCCTCTTTATCCAGCAGTCTCCAAGATGGTTCTGTTAAAAGGCTTTTACAAGTTATTCAAACAGCTCAGGGGGAAATTCCTTCTTCTGGTGATTGGCTGCACTTGATGGTTCCCCAGGCTAGGATGCTTTGTGTCTTCAGTGTCTGGAAGAATCCCAACTGGATAGGCAGGGACTGAGCTATGCTGGAAGTGAGAGGTGGCTTGTGCAGAGGAGCACTGTTTGAGGACAGCAGCAGTAACTATTTTTCTCTGGTGTTGATGGTTATTAATCAATCCATCAGTGCATGGTGATTTGATTTGTAAACAATAATATGAACTATGAGTCTCTGAGGATCACTTTTCAAGATGTATTTGTGCTTAACTTCACATGATAAGAAAATTGACCTGAACAAGTGTCCTGTATTTTTTCAGTTGGAGTTGTTCTAATTCAGTAACAATTAACCAACTTGTCAAATGTTTAAATTAAAATGTAACCACTGTTTGTCTTTGCTTAATCAGTCTAAAGACACCTGATTTCAGGCCAGGATTTCTGACACACATACTCACAGGACTGGCTCTGAAACTCAGGAAGTCAAGTAAATGTGTATCATTTTGGAACAGGCATGTTTTATACTGTCAGGTGCAGACAGCCTCCATCCTTCCAGGGCTCTGGGGAAAGGCACAACAATATCAACTCATGGGAGTAGCCACAAAGGTGGCCAAGGTGAGAATGTCTGGACATTGGAGGAGTTCTCCTAGTTTTAACCAATTCTTCTCTGACCTGTACATCCTGGCAGTTTGTGCCAGGCCTCTCCCTCTGCCCAGGCAGTCTCTGCAGTCCATCCCCTGATTCCCAGCCTGCATTTTCTCTACTGTCTTGTCTTCTTTGCTTCAATTATGCCTCCTGTCTTTTCTCTGATCCTCACCAAAGGAATGACAGAATATTTTTACACCATCATGATGGTACCAGCACTTTTTTGCTTTGACTGTGTGTTTTACTGTTTCCATCTGCTCTCTCCAAACTACAGAAACAAAAACTATCTCTGCAGTTCCCAGCACCATGGAGTCCTGCTCTTGATTGCCTTGTCTCAAAATCCTGCATATTTAAAAACCTCAGTGTTGTCCAAGAGTGGAGATACCTGCTCTTGCTCATGTCTGTATACGAGTGACTTCTAAAATAGCAACCGCAAATGAACAAAAGTTCAGTTTTATTTTTCCTATGTTATAAACCTCAGATAGTGAAACATAGTTCTTACACAGACTCCTCTTCTGAGAAATAGATCTGCTGCTCCATTCATGCCCAGAATGACAGTAATACACTCTGGAAATGTTTATAGCCTTGTCATTCAAAAATGCTGTATTTTTTTTAAATGTAGTTAAAAAATATACCGGAAGAAACTTTAACTACTTATTTTGAAAATGTATGTTCTTCTTTGCGGCAACCATCAGTGGTTCCATGACCTTCATAGAAAAAAAGCCAAAAGAAAAGAGATGGCTTGATTATGGTTTTGAGAAGAAACTGGAAGAAACTTCACCAGTCAACCCAATGCCTATGAAAGGCAATATTAAATGAGGAGTGTTGCGCTGTTCTGTACCTAAAAGCTAAAAAGAATCAGTATCACATCTGGGTCTTTTCCAATGTGCTCTATGGAGACAACAAGAACATGCAGCAGAGAATGTTCTGCTGTGATCTAAATCTCCACATCCAAAATAAACTGCTGCCATAAGAGCTCCTCACCACACTAACCGTAGCAGAGTGCAAGTATAAAACCCTGCAAGATGCACCAGCAGCATCCATGAGAGCACTACAAACCGGACTAGAGAATTACTTGTGCTTTACAACATAGGACTGGAAGACAACAAACAAGCCATGAAGAAAAACAGTCCAGAATAAATAGTCTGCAAAACAATGCCCAAAAGTCAGTTGTATAACAAGCCACTTAGGAAGTACTAGAATTTTTCTTCCTAATCCATCTGTCACATGTTTTTATAGCTGAAAATAATTAACTGCTCACTACTGCTCAACAAGTAGGGGTCTATTTGAAATCACTTAATAACAAAACAATGGGAGCACCAAGACAAGGTACTGAGAATTTCATTTGGTGTCTGAAAATAGAACTTAATCATATTAATTTCTGTGTTAGAGAGCCCAGATTCAGGGGCAGGGAAAGAAAGGCTTCTGAGATGGAAGTTACTGTTTGGGTGGAGGAGAAATATAGAAGAAATTCAGAAGAAATTTGCTGAAGCATTGCATGGTGTTGTTTGATGATAAAAGACTAAAGCATCATTCTGTCACTCTCTAACATGGATTCTAAAATACGTATCCATTACTTAGCACTAAAAACTGAAAACAGATTATTAAACTTCTGTTGGGACCTATCCGTTCAAGTATATCTTTTCAAGATGAACTTAAGAATCTAAGAGTAATATATTGTCCTTAACCCTACTTCTCTCTTTGTGACCCTCCAAGAGAAAATAGCTACTGCTGAATTTCCCCAAGATACCATCCTGCTTTCTTCTGCTACAACATGGTGGATTTGATCTCTTCAGGGCCTTTATAAAAACCTGCATCGGTCTAAGCTTTGAAGTTGTGTTTCTTGAACTCCTCCAAAATTTTCTGGAAGGACCTTCCCTTTGTCTCAGGAAGGAAAAACCCAAAGTAGAGTGCAGTGCAGATGCAAGATCACAAGGAATGGGACGTAGCAGAAATGTGCTAGACTTTTCTGAGGAGGAGGAATAAAACAAGACAGTGTTGGTGATGTTCTGTACGATGACAAACAGGCCACTAATCCCTGTTCCTGCATGGACTAACTTCTCTCGGGGAGTATTTCTGGGTGCCTTGGTCAGGGCGTCACATGCCTGCATGCAACAGCTCCCCAGCATAGTTTGGGAGATTTGACATAGCAAGAAGAGTATCTCAAAATGTCTTTTTCTGTCTTTCTATATATAATTGTATAGAATGGGGACCCACAGTAGGAAATAAGTCAGGATTGAATATTGTGGAGTTCTGCTCCCTTTTGCTTCAGGAATCATAGAATCATAGAATCGTTTAGGTTGGAAAAGACCTTTAAGATCATCAAGTCCAACCATTAACCTAGCACTGCCACGTCCACCACTAAACCAATTAAGGGTAGAGTAGCAATTTCATGTTTCCTGGCTTGGTGGCTGGATTATTTTTTAATGAAAGTAAAAACTAGGAGTTGTTAAGATTGGAAAGGACCTCTAAGATCATCAGTCCAACCATCAACCCAACACCACCATGCCCACTAAACCATGTCCCAAAGTGCCATGTCTACCCATTTTTTGAACACTTCCAGGGATGGTGACTCCACCACCTCTCTGGGAAGCCTGATCCAATGCTTGACTACCCTTTCTGTGAAGAAATTTTTCCTAATATCCAATCTAAACCTCCCCTGGCACAGCTTGAGCCCATTTCCTCTCATCCTATCTCTAACTACTTGGGAGAAGAGACCAACACCCACCTCACTACAACCTCCTTTCACCCTAGGGAATGATGCTAGTGTCTGGCCAAGGGGAATTACATCACATCCCTAGTCCCAGCTGTTGTCAGCTGAGGACAGAGGAGGAATATCGGTCATCTATGCCTCAATCTGCTTCCAGCCTCACATCAGAAATCACCATAGGCAACATGGAGGAAGTTTGGTTTAGAGGATATTTGACCACTTTCCTCATAAAGGCACTTTTCATGGCAGTGCTATCTTGCTATGTGTCTGCAGCTTGCGATATTCCAGGCACTGTCTCTTTTCATGGTCACTATCAGACCCCCTTTTTTGTGTAAAACACTAAAGAGCTGCAGGTGATTGCTTTGCCTTGGGAACCCACCACAATGAATGGAAAGGCTGTTCTGACCAGAAATAGGTTGAACCAGAGCAGAGAGCCACAGATCATATAAGTAGCTGGCCAGGACATTTGATCAAAAACCTCTGTGGGCAGAACTGTTACACCAGCTGGAAAAAGAAATGGCAAGAAAGTTAATAATACTGTTGACATTATATTAAAAACAAGAAAACACATACTAACAAGCAAACTCAACATGAAGTATATGAGAACAGTAAATTATTATTCAGTAAATTATTCTCACTAGTCAACAATGCCAGAACAAACCGTAATAGAGATTAACTGCAGTGGGGAATTTTTAGGTTAAATGTTAAGGACTGGCTAATTATTCATACTCTCTCATGTTAGAATGAACTGCCGGGAAAGGTTTTGTAATCCACATTATTCTCACTAGGACCCAACTGTGAGAATGGCTTATAATTAATTCAACCCTATGGTGCTGTAGGGACTGGGACAAGAAATTTCTGCCAACTCATGTCACATGTGACACTGG